TCAGTTTTTAGACCCTCAGATCCAACTGAAAGATCAGTTTAAATGAAATTAATTCAAGTAGACATTAGCATAGACCACTTATACAAAGATATTTTAATTCGTGACTCCTGATATATATTAACTCACATAGTATTTCTTCTTTAGGTCTTATCTGCATTAGTGCTTGAAATTAGAGTCAAGTCCTAGTATTTCTGGCCAGGTGTATAATAATGCTATTATAAATTTAAAAAAAATGCAATGATATTATAACTTCCATATGATTAAGCCAATCTTCCTCTCCCTAACTCCATCTACCATTCATTACTCACATAAAAAAAGTGTAGATTATTACATAAAAAAATAGACAGCAATAAGTCTTGCCTTTGGGCCTAGGCATACTAACAATCCATTAAAAAAAAAAAGATGATGTAAAGCCTTAGGAGAGCTCTCTGAGCCAGGCTGTCCCACACTACTTGCTGGAGGCCTGGCCCTGAATCAGTTTGGTGGGCAGCCACAGCAAAGTAAACTTTGGGTTCACATAGCTGTTCATCCACACTTGGACTTGGGTTAATGCTCCAACAGTTTTTTTCATTTCCATGGGGCATAAACAGCACCCAGGTTTCCAAATTTCCAGCATCTCCCTAATAGAGGAATAGGCCAATAGCTAAAATGTGGTGACTGGGACAGGTGCACCAGCGAAGCTGAGTACCCACAGCAGACGTCCTGGGCCAGGACTCATGACGTAGACAGAGCAGACCGAAGCAGGGCCTGTAATTCCCTGAAGGGCCAAGATGCAGCCGGGTCAGCAGGGGAGATCAGCAGGCCCTGTCCAGCCCAGAGGGAATAGTGACCCCAAATTGCACTGGTCCTGGCGGCCGGCAGCAGAGCAGGCGGTAACCATCCATGTCAGAGACCGAGAGGGACCCGAGGGAAGCAGGAAGGTAATGAGTGCAGATCAAAGCCTCCTTTCCGGTGCCGGGAGGCCTCCTCAGTCACATGAGGGGAAAGACGAGAATATGAAGGGCTGGCCATTGCCTTGCAGGGACGGATCCACCAAAAGAGTCTATTTACATCATTGACTAAGTCCAAAGCTGCTCTTTAAAAGAAAACCATACTTCACAAGTTCATGTATGTAATTATACCTTGATGTAAGGCCCCAGGTAATATGA